GAGAACATTTTTACTGCCCCACATGAAAAAGAGTTCACTTAGAATTGCTGGAGTAAATAATCACTCTGACCCACCTCTGTCCTGGGGAAGTGTTCACCAAATATTTAAGTTCTATTATGAGTCAGACACTGTTCTAGATATTTGGGATGAACACAAAACAGTAAAACAGTGTTTTTATTTGGTCATCAGAAAAAGAATTTTAAAGCCTTTTCCCTTAGCTAACTAACACTGTAAGTTACATTGGAAACTGGATAGGCCAGTATTTGTTGGTTTATTTCTCCTCTCTACATCTCCCCCAGCTTTTTAATAATTGGTTTAAATTTGGCCTGGAGCAGCACCTTTTTTTGGTGATAAAAGTGTTCAGGTTCTTCAGGACATTGACACTGTGTGGCAGTTCTTACTGAACATCCCCTCTGTAAATATAATTCTCTGTGCCTAAAAGAGCCCTCACTCGTATGGCCAGGATTGGGGAGAAACTGGCACAATCTCCATTAGTCAGTTCCTGGCAGGATATTAATATCCGTGTAGGGTTCTTAGAAGAATTTAACAGCTAAATGATACTCATAACTGTGATTAATAATAACTTTATAAAACTCTTAACATCTTTTATTCTCACTGTCCATCTATAAGATGAGTATTATTCCAGTTTTATAGACTCTGAACGGGTTTAAGTGACTTACCCAAGCGCACATTGGTATGTGACAGAGCTCGAAGTCGAATTAGTCTCTTGACTGCAATCCTGAACTCATTCTGTTACCTATTTTTCCTTGAAAGGCTCTGGGAAATGATTTCTATCTTAAGTATCACAGCATCATTGATCTTCCTTATTTCATTCTCTCCTCGGTTTAACTCATTTGGCACTGAGACACAAATCATCTTTCTTTTAAAAAAGAAGCAATTTTTTATTGTTTATTTTAGCTCCCTACTGTCTGTTTCCTTAAATCTAAATTCCTGTGCCTGCTGTTCGGATCCTTCACAATCTGTTGTTAGCCTACCTGTCCAGCATTACCTGTCATTGTCTCCTAACATGGACCCTTTGTTCAAATCAGGCAGATCTGTTTCCTGAATGTATTTAAGCTCAAACACATTCCTGTTTCCGGACTTTAGCCTGTAGTTTCTCTTATTCATCCTGTCCTTTGGGGGTGCACCCAAGGCTTCCCTGATAGCTGTAATTAGGAGTAAGTGCTCCTCTTCTGACTATATATACCACTTACTGTCTGTACTGTACATTTTTGCCACTTCATTGTTACCTTTAACCGTTATACACTGTATTTCAGTGCTCTCTTGTTTTCACATATATAAATTAACCAGAATTTAAGTCTCTTGACATAGGAAACCAGGTCCCTCACATACACTTAGGGCAATCCTTGAGCACATGGCAGATACTCTTTAAATGCTAGTTATTCCAATAAATATACCCATGTGGCAGAATTCACTGGTGATGATGATGGTGGTCCAAGTGGATAAGTTTTTCTGAAAATGCATCTGTGTCTGTTCATTTTTTTCAAAAATATACTTGATAATGCTTTTTACATTCCCTTCTTCCCTACTTTTGTTTTGGTGACAGGCTGTCGACGATGTGAAGAAAGGTTACATCAAAGCAGAGGAAAAGTCCTACCAGTTACAGAAGCTATACGAACAAAGGAAAATGGTCATGGTAAGTTTATGCCCCATAATTCCTTCATAAAATGCCCCTTCTTACCCCTTAAACCTGTCATTCCAGTCAGTTTGGAAAAGATCACAACCTGGTCAGTGGCTTCGCTAATAAAAAAAAAGGAAGGGAATATAGACCTTAATGCAGAGTCCATTATGTTCCTCCACTGAACACACAAAGAGCTTGCATTACTATATGTTGGTACATGATTTTATTATTAATAATAACTAGACAATTTTTGATAAAGTGCTGCAACAAAAGATGTATAAAACATTACAATATGATACAGATAAGACTGTATGAGAACTGATATTTAGATTTTTAACATTAGAGATTATTTTAATTGTGATTTAGTAAGAGCGAAGTCATTTTAATTTCTTCAGCTGCTTAAACATTTATGCTCAGTAGTGCTTTTGGTTAGTATGATATTCTACAGCTATGCTGTTTGATTCAATAGCTACTATACTCATGTGGCTATTAAAATCTAAATTTAAATTCATTTAAATTAAATAAAATTTAAAATTCAGTTCTTTTATCGTCCAAGTCAAGTGCTAAGTAGCTATATGTGGCTAGTAGTTACCATATTGAACAGTGCAGGTGTAGAACATTTTCATCATCACAGAAAGTTCTGTTGGGCAAGGTTCATAATAGATTATGAAATCATTTTTAGTTTCAAGTTTTTATTTTACAATCACCCAGTTAAGAACTTGAGTATAGTCGATACACAGATATATTTCCCCATGGGTCATTGGCATTGAGTATAAAATATGCTTAAACATTTATGGAATTCTATTGTCTTGAAAACCTAGTACCAACATATGACTGTACTAGCCACATAATACTGCAGTCAGATTTTGAAGAAAATCTCACCAAATTTTGAATTTTATTCAAGTATAATATGTGTTCAGGTATCAGTGTTCAAAGACATTAGCCTAGCCAATATTGGGTCATCGTCAGTACACTGAAACTTCCAAATCAGATGGGCCCTTCAGAGCCCATAGGCCCTGATGCCATTAACTATAGCAATTTGGTATGCTTGATGGCAACAGTTAGGCCAATCGCTACAATTAGTAGTTGCCAAATCACCATGAGACCTTCAGCAATTCAACAAACATCTCAGTTCTAGATTATTTTCTGTAAAATAGGGATATTCAGACTGTCAGCTATCAAGTAGAATCTTGACAAACTACTCCAGGGTTCTTGGTAGATAAATAAGCTTTACGTAAGTTCCTGTGTCCTCCAAATCTCCAAACAGAGAGGACAGCTCATATTCTTGCCATAGTTTATAATACCCTGTGTGATCAAAAACATTTTTGTTTTCTACTTATTTACAAAGTTAGATTGAATCTCAAATTTGGATGATTGAGAATATAATGTACAAGAAAGAATGTTTTTTCTTTCTTTCCTCCCTCCCTCTCCTTCTCCCCACCCTGTCTCCCTTATCTCCCCCTTCCCTCCCTCCCTGTTTTCCTTCCTTCCTTCCTTTCCTTCCTTCCATCCTTCCTTCCTTCCTCCCTTCCTCCCTCTTTTTCTCTCTCTCTCTCCCTCCCTCCCTTCACACAAACAATAGACAAGTGTAAATTATGCTTTTCTTATGTTGAAATGGCCTGATTTTGCCATTGTTGAACTGATAGTTTCTATGTTAGTGTTTCTCAACATAATTTGTAATGATTTCACAAAAGGCAGTATGTGTGAAAGTCAGCCTTTCGCAAGTGTTAGTTCCCAGTCTACTTAGGAGGGAATCACTTTGAAGCTGCTTAAAATGCAGATTTCTGGACTCCATCCCTGAGGGTGGGACCTAGGGAATCTTTGTTTTTAACACCTTGACTGCCTTATTAGTTGTATTTAACTCAGGCTAGTTTAGAGTCCGGGACCGTGTGAAGCAAAACTCTGCAGTTGGTTCATGAAAATCTTACTTGTTGATGTTCTTATTGTTACAATTAATATTGACAATTTAATTCTAAAAATGTGGATTGCGTTGCACATAACTCACTCACAGAAAACAATAAAAAAATAACAAATTAGAGAGGATTGTTTTGTTTTAATAAAACACTGTGGCCCCAGGGAAAATTTGTTTTTCCTAGTGTGGCAGTTGATGTGTTAAAAAGCACACCGGTGATTCTGAAACTTTAGGTGCTTCTGAATCAGTATTCGAGGGTTTAGGAGAGTTGACTCTTGAAGTTCCTCTCATCCCGTTTTTTCCTGTTTTAGATCTGGTTTGACCTTTGCCAGGTTGTTTGGGAGAACAGAGAATTCTTCAGAATGGACCTTGACCCATTCACCTAAAGTGTTCTGCTCTGTTAAGTTCTGAGTTTCTGTTTTAATAACGGTCCTATTTCTATATTTACCTGGCTTGCTGAGTATTGAACATTTATAAAATGTACCATAGTTTACCTTTCCTCTTCTCTGGCCTATAAGGGCTACCATCTATGTGGTATGGGAATTATCACCTGAAGATAATTTAGGATACATATTTAGCTACTCAAAACTTAATATGAAAGGGGAATAGACAGGATAATTTTGTGTTTAAATATATGTCTACACCCTTACATAAATATGTTTGAAAGCAAAAATTCACCTCTGTTTTGCAAATTTTGGATTTAGGTAAAATTTGTAATGTTTCCTCTCTTAGGCTTTGTGCAAACCCAGGAATGTAGGGATTGCCCACTTAAAGCTGGTAAATACTACCCAGGCATCTCTGAGAACCTTGTCTCCCAATGAGACTTTGCTTCTGTCTTCTCACCAAGGACACAGGTGCCTTTGGTTTTCATCCAAGTTATTTTCAGAATTTGTGCCATTAAGAAGTCCACTGAAGGTCTTTTGCTTTCAAGGACCACATTCTTGAATACGGAAGGACAAATCAGCCCTTTGATTCAGAGGGTGGGGAAAGCGGCATCTATCATGTGCCTGATACTGTTCTCGGCACTTTATGTCAGTTAACAACCCTGTAGGTGCATCCCCAGTCAGAGAAGAAGTGGAATCTGAGGGATTAAGATTCTTACCCAAGATCATATAGCTTGTCAGAAATGGAACTAGGATTTAATAATGGGATTCGAACCCATTTCTGTCAGGCTCCCATGCATATGTTTTCCTCTACTTTAGGGAAGAGTGGGTGGCAGCAATGTCTTTTATTTCCAGGTGGCAGAAGGGAAGAACCTGATAGAGTAACTGACTCAAGGTCACAAAGAGAGAGTTCAAGATACACAGAGCTCCACGTTCTTCTAATCTCTTTTCCCTGCTTTGTCTGCATGTTTCTCTCTTTAAAAAAAAAAGTCTGTATGATAAAACTCCCAATGAGGGAATGTGGCAGAAATATTTCTCAAAATGGTAGTAGTACCTCTCAAAGAAGAGAACTCTCAACAAATGTATTATATAAAAGCCTTTTTTGTCGGAGGACGTGAGTAGAACTAGTCTTAAGGCTCCATAACACCCACTGGCATTTACAGGGGTTTTAAGCATTCTTGAGCAGAATTGCTGCTTATTGAGCAAGTAAAGTTTCTGATGACTGTGTTAGGAAGATGACTTGGGATTGAGTACCAGAGGCCTAATTGCAGGACACTCTTTTCTTTTAACATTTTCTTGTAGAAATTTTGGCCAGGCGCGGTGGCTCATGCCTGTAATCCTAGCACTCTGGGAGGCCAAAGCAGGAGGATTGTTTGAGCTCAGGAGTTCGAGACTAGTCTGAGCAAGAGCGAGACCCCGTCTCTACCAAAAATAGAAAGAAATTAATTGGACAACTAAAAATATGTAGAAAAAATTAGCCGGGCATGGTGGCGCATGCCTGTAGTCCCAGCTACTCGGGAGGCTGAGGCAGGAGGATCGCTTGAGCCCAGGAGTTTGAGGTTGCTGTGAGCTAGGCTGACACCACGACGGCCCTCCAGCCCAGGCAACAGAGCAAGACTCTGTCTCAAAAAAAAATTAAAAAACAACATTTTATTGGAGAAATTTTCAAATACATAAAGAAGTTGAATGAATAGTACAGTTGGCCCCCATGTGCCACTTACCCAGCTTCAGCAGCCTTCAGCTTTCTGCCGTTCATGTTCCATCTATCTCACATGCTTTCTTTCCTCAGGAGTTTTTAAAAGTAATTTCTAGATACATCATTTCACAGAGTATTCTTGAAAGAGAAAATAGCTTGAGAGCTATGGATAATGGAGCTTTAAAAAAATTTTTTTAGCTATTATTTATTAAATGCCTAATTACGTACCAAGTACTAGGTTAAATATTTTCTATTTACTGCTCACAAACAATGCTGTGGTGTAGATGGTGTAGGTGCTATTATAATATCACTGCCCATTTTACAGATGAGGAAACTAAGGCTCCTGGGATTAAGTAATTGGCCTGAGTTTAAGTAACTTGCCCAGGTTGCACAGTTAGAAAGTAATGGGGCCAGGATTCAAGCCCACGGTAGTCTGGGCCTTTTAATAACTCCTCTGTGTACTGCTCTCTGTCCCAAGCTTTGCTGCTTATTGTAACCCCAGAAGAGTTTTCTCCTATTCTGTATCACCCACCCCTGTCATGTTTACCAAAGTAGAACAGTCAGGGATTCCTTTTTGTTTATAGTGCCAATAGCAGGATTAAGCAGTATCCGTGTTTATCACCAGTATTGAAAGAATAATAAAAATAGGGGCTGGGAGTGGGGAATTTGCTTGAGGCCAGGAGTTTGAGACCAGGCTGAGCAAGAGGGAGACCTCTGTACAAAAAATAGAAAAACTAGCCTGGCGTGGTGACACCCGCCTGTAGTCCCAGCTACTCAGGAGGCTGAGGCTCTTTTGAGCCCAACAGTTTGAGGTTGCAGTGAGCTATCATCATGCCACTGCACTCTAGCCTGGGCAACAGAGCAAGACTCTGTCTCAAAGAAAAACCAAAACCAACCAACCAACCAACCAACCAACCAAGCTCAGCAGGGGATAGTGTGGGTGTGTGGAGTAGGGTGATAGAAGGATAGAAGGAGGGAGAAATGAGAGATGAAAAATGATGTGATCAAAGTATTGCAGCACTTCTAAATTGACCCTGTCCTTGTATTCTTGCTACCCTTTTATAATTTTTCACCTTCAAAGTTGCTATTATTATTTTACCTAAGCCTAAATACAAAGTAGGGAAGGGAGTGTGTGGTATGATACTCCTTGAGCCCTTAAATCTTCCCAGACAGTCCCTGGTGGCAGTAGCAATGGTCTTAAGTGCCATTCTTTGGTGCCAGAGCCATAGGTTGCCTTGTGTCCTTTTTGTGCCTTTGTCCTTTTTTCTCCGCTCTCTTGGTAAGGCAGAAGGCAACTCTCCAGGGTATTCTAATCTCCCTGCCCATCTTAGGTGCTGGGAGACTAGGGTGCTGTGCTTTTTTGTCTTCTCTCCAGCACTCTGTGCACATCACCAGTGTGCCCTGTTCTTCCTTGTGTGACATGCAGTTGGAAGCTCAGGCTATTTGCTTGTTTCCCAGGCAATCCCTGAGAGGAAACCAGGTCAGCGTCCGTGCATCTTCATTCCCCCAGCCCCTGCCCTATCTTCCTTCCCCTGTTTCTCTCTTACTCTCTTTCCACTCATCTTCTTTTACTCTCTCTCCTCTCAACTCAAAATAGTGAATTGAATAAAAGAGAAGCCAACCTTAACTGGAGAGAAGGGACAAAGAGCTGAGTTAGCTTCAGCAGTTCAGAGACGCCTCTGGATTAGTCTTATAATGTACCTGTGAGAGTCATATAATATATACCACTTGATTTTGGTCTAGATGCTTCTTAAGGAGGCATATATGCTGGAGACCTAGGGGACAGTGGGGCTGATTTGGGGACTAGTTGGTGATAGTGAAAGGAGCAGGGGCCTAGAAATTAAACCTGGGTTCTAATCCTGGTTGTGCCACTTATTATTACCTGTGAGCTCAGGTTAGTCTCATCTTAGTCTGAGTTTCTGTTAAATGACTAGGTTTTAAAGTCTCTTTCAGTTTCAACGTTTTGTGATTGTGAGATTATCACTGGGATCATTGTAACTTTTGACTGGAGAGGAGATAGGGGGAAATAGTAACACCCTTTCTTAATTATAAGGATAGCTTAGATTCCCATCCCTTAGGTACAAGGGAAATAGAGGACAGACAAAATAGCATTGTGAGTTCCCCTCTAGCCCTGTGAGTCCTAGTTATAGTGTTTCTTCTGATTTTAATTTGTCTATCTTTTTTTTTTTTTTTTTGAGACAGAGTCTCACTCTGTTGCCCCGGCTAGAGTGAGTGCCGTGGCATCAGCCTAGCTCACAGCAACCTCAAACTCCTGGGCTCAAGCGATCCTCCTGCCTCAGCCTCCCAGGTAGCTGGGACTACAGGCGTGCGCCACCATGCCCGGCTAATTTTTTCTATATATTTTTAGTTGTCCAGATAATTTCTTTTTTTTTTTTTAGTAGAGACGGGGTCTCGCTCTTGCTCAGGCTGGTCTCAAACTCCTGAGCTCAAACAATCCACCCGCCTCAGCCTCCCAGAGTGCTAGGATTACAGGCGTGAGCCACCGCGCCCGGCCTGTGTATCTTTTTTAAGTAGAAAAAGAGGGGTTGGAAGTGTGAAGGCAGAAGTCGGAAGTGGGATAAAGGATTATCTCAGAGTTAGGACCCAACTTAGGGATGGGTGTGAGACCAGAGGCCAGGTCTTCAGGTTGTTGGGTGAGAATATTCTCTTTGCTCCTCTTGTGCCATCTGAGCAGCTCTTCATTGTGTTTAGTTCCATAGTATAACAATACTGTTTCCCCTTCCTTTTTTCCTAGTACCTCAACATGCTAAGGACTTGTGAGGGCTACAATGAAATCATCTTCCCCCACTGTGCCTGCGACTCCAGGAGGAAGGGGCACGTTATCACAGCCATCAGCATCACGCACTTTAAACTCCATGCCTGCACTGAGGAAGGACAGCTGGAGGTGAGAATTCTGCATGGGGCTTGGGCTAGAAGCACTGGGGATACTTTGATACTCGCTTGCTACGTTTGAATTCCTTTTTTGGGGAAAACGAAATCAGAATTGTGTATTGACTGGGGCGGATATATGGGCACTGGATCCACACTGATCCTCAGCTTCTCTGGCTGCTCCCACTGACCTTTATTCTTCTGTCACAATCCCTTCCCTGAAGTGATGCAGACATCTCCATTCATTTCTCTTCTGTGGCCTGGTCCAGAATCCTCTTACCTCAGCTCCCCAGCACTCTGAAACTCAGACTGTAGACCTTATTCTCTTGTTCTTGGTTGTGCAGAACCAGGTAATAGCATTTGAATGGGACGAGATGCAGCGATGGGATACAGATGAAGAAGGGATGGCCTTCTGTTTTGAATATGCACGAGGAGAGAAGAAGCCCCGATGGGTTAAAATCTTCACACCATATGTGAGTGGGAGGTGGGGACGCGTACTTGGGGAAAGTAGATTGGGCCGAAAGTTGTCTTTAAGCTAAATGCATAAGTGGAGAGAGGTACAGACATCGATCTGAACCTGTTTGAGTCGTAGAGCCCCAGGTTCATCCTGCCTTTCCTTCAGGCCTCACTAGGATTGGCAATTTCATATCCTGCTTGACTCGCAGTTACCACTAGCAGGAGCTAGAGAACAGGAGATGAGCCAGGCCTGGATTTTGTGGCACTTGTCAGGGTTTTTCTCTAGACTGAGTTTGGAGGATGGGCTGGCTGGGGGCAGGACCTCAAAGGTATGGCCCTGTGGTGCTTGGTCTTAAGAAGTCAGTGAGTGTTGCCACTTTTTTTTCAGTTCAATTACATGCATGAGTGCTTCGAGAGGGTGTTCTGCGAGCTCAAGTGGAGAAAAGAGGTAACTCTAAACAATTCTTGAATGGACTTTTTCATCTTTTTTGTTTGTTGAAAATTTGTAGGCCTATGGCCAAATACCTGGGACCCTCACCTCCATCTCTGTCTTTCTAGGAATATTAGTTAGAGACTGATTATCTCATGTGAGCCAGGACATTCTTCCAGCGAGGTTGGCCTCTGGATGGTGAATGGGCCGTGCAAAAAAGCCCTGCTTCTTCCCTTGCTTAGAGGGTGGACATTGGCTACAGGCTCTTCCATCTCTCATGACTTCATGGACCCTCCTCTGCCAGTGTTTAAAATCAAATCACCTTCCATGTTGTTCCTGACCCAGAAGGGCAGCTGTCCTCAGTTTTAGTCATCTGACTGGATGAGTCACAACAGAGTCTTTCTAGGCTAACCGAGAATGCGTATGTGGGGGAAGGTTTTTGCTGCTGCTTTACTCTGCTGTGTGTGTGTGCCAGTGCTGGAGCACAGTGTGGAAGATTCTGAATAATTAGCTATTTATTCTCAAAGAAAATCTTTCAGAAGATCAGGCGGTCAGGTCAGACACATGAAAATTTATATTCTTAGTGTAGTAGAAAGGAGGTTGGCTCTGGGAATTTTATCTGGGTTTTCTCCTGGCTTTTTTTCTCTGTGTAATTTTGGGTAAACCAGCCTCCCTGGATCTCAGTTTTCTCTTCTGTAAAACAGGAAGACTGAACCAGATAATTAATATCCAAGGTCCCTTCCAGTGCTGAAAGGCTATGATTCTAGATGGTAAGTTGTGTCAGGGAACAAGGCCAATCGGATTGAGTCACCCAGCATCCAGTCAGTCCCGTGTAGTTTCTGTTTGAGGAGTTGTCTCCAGATGGTAGGAGATGGGGCTTCCCAATAACTCTTTTCTTTTTTTCCTTTCAGAACATATTCCAGATGGCGAGGTCACAGCAGAGGGATGTGGCCACCTAGCCTTTCCTTATCCCTTTCCCTTCTCTTCGCCCTCATCCCCTTATCCCTTTCATCTCCCATGTCAGACAGAGTAATCATTAACACAAAAGAAGAGAAAAAGGAAACAAGTCATTATGTTCAAGAGCCCTAAACTAAATCTTATTAATAACACCCCCTGAATTTCATGCCTCTGGAATTGAGCTGGTAGAAAACAGATTGGTCAGCACCAGAAGTCAACTGAGTTAAGACAGGAAAGAAATAAGCCCAACCAACTTGCCAAAGGTATCTTTGTTCTTTCGTCTGGGCCTCATACCAACAGACTCTCCTTGTACTATATTTTTAAAACTGGAACTATGAACTTCATCCATTTGCACTGTTCAGACATATATATGTATGTATGTAAAAAATTATATATATACAAATTAGCTGCACGTATATACATATATATATTTCTTTTTAAATTTCATAATATTGGCAGTACCTTTTTTAGCTTGTGTTTTTACACACCTTTCATTAGAATTCATGACCTCTCTCTTGCTCTCTTTATTTTGAAACAAACTTTAAAAAGGAAAAAAAAAACATTTTATAGGGAAAATACCTCTCCTCATGAAGGACTCGAAAAGTTTACAACCTGCTTGGGTTTTTCCCCCTTTTTTGTATTGAGTACAGATTCTGGCTCATGGGCTGCCATAGAGTCTGAGGAGCAAGAAGTATAGTTTCTTTATCATCCAAGAGGGTGCTGGGGAGGAGAAAGAGGTGTGTTTCTCAAGGTTAGCAAGGCTACGGTTCTGCAGGGAGAGCCTAAAGATTTGGTGCGGTCTCTTGATTCCAAGACAATTTTTCTGGTCTGTCTCTGTCTCCCACGCATGGCTTTCTGGCCACATTCTGCATCTCCTTCCTGCTTCCCTAGGGCCCTTGTATGCTTTCCCTCGACTGGCCCTGGCGGAGTTGAGGGTGTGGGCTCAGGAGGTTGATGCCACAGGAACCTGAAACACTTCATGGTAGTAATTTCCCATTTCCCTGCCTTTTCTGCAGCAGGGATGGTACTAGGGACCAGAGATAAAGCTGATACCTTAGGCACAAAGGTTGGACTTAACAAAGGGGAAAGGAAAAGAGCAATGCCCTGTGTACACAAGGTTTTACCTACTCCATTCCTGAACGATAACCACCCATAACTATTACATTCTGTGCCTGCCTCAAACAGCACTGTTGGGGAGGGATCTGATAATATCTTCAAGGATCTGGGGAAACTTGGGAATGGGTCAGTGGTCTGTGCCAACCAAACCATAGCCCCATCTAAGCCAGCTGAGGATCCAGGAAGGAGTAGTAGGAATATGGTTGATTTCCAACTTTTAATTAAAAGGAGACTGAAGGAAAACCTTTTTGTCCCTCACAGAGCTCCTCATCTGACCTTGCAGTTAGACCCTTTGAGACTTAAGAGCGGCATCCCAGGGTCAGAGGCCAGGGCTGACTGGGGTGCTCCTGGGCTCCGTGGAGAGTGCACAAGGAGCACCAGGTCAGGCTCAGACGCAACTGAAACACATCTTTGAGCCTTTTCTTTTTCCCTTCTTCACCATCTAAACAAAAACCTCCATAGGGTGGCATCTTTTGCTTTGTTTAACTGGGAGGTGGTCATAATTGGTTGTAGTCAACTCCCCGTGAGCAGTGTTTGGGTGGTTCAGAGTTTCTTTTTTGTAACTTGTTTTTGCAGATCATTGTGAAGCCACTTTTCTTTCTTTCTCACTCTGTCATCCTGGCAGCCACTTGCCCCAGAAAGGTGTGGAATCATATAAGACATCCTATCCTCCCTCCCCCTCTCCAAACCTAGGTGGAATCACAGAGTGCAACACATAAGAATGCTGAATGTTTATAGTTGCAGAAAGCGATCCCTGATTTGAAGGCTTTGACACAGGATTAACTCCTTTTTTTTTTTTTTGGTTTAAATGAATTTAATAATAAGCCAAAGGACTCTGAAAAGAAGATACATTAATTGCCCACTCCAAGATGCTAAAGAAGATTTTGGCACCAGCTTTGCTCAAACTGTAAAAATAGCAATTTGCCCCTATTCCCTAATAGTGGGAGAGGAATGAACAAATCTGGGAGTCCACACGACAGCCCAAATACTGACCTCCAGATATGAGACATAGGGATTTGGAGGTCCCTTAGAGTAGATAGATAGTGCTGTGTTCCTTTTCTGGCATAGCATTCACTTGGTGCTTTGGAGATTAGGTGAGGGCCCCATAGGTAGTTGGCCTGTTGGCAGAATCTATTTTGGAACAGCCCATACTTGAGGCTGTCCCATAACAAAGCACCCAGCTGCAGCAAGGAGGTGGGAAGGAGGGTGACTCGAAAGGACAGCGCCTTCTCCTCCTCTACCCACAACAGTCCTCCAGTGATGGAGGCAGAGGTCACTGTGGCTGTGGAGGTCCATAGGATCAAAGCCCTTCTTTGCATGAAGCAGTGTTAGGTGTGACTGTTCTCTCCCCTCTTCCCCCCTTCCTCTACACTTCCTCTCGCTAATCCCTACTACTCCTTAGTCCTGGCTTCTGCCCAGGGAGGCTTTTACCCAGTCTTCTTTTGCAATTTGTCTCTGGGAAAGGGAGGCTCCCCCTGCCCTCAGCTTCACCCCAGCAGAGCCAGCAGGATCTTCTTGGTCTCCTGTTGACCTCCCTCCACATTTGGTTTCTATTCTCTGGGGCAAAAGCTCAGAGCTTTTTATGGATCAGGAGAAAACGCAGGCCCTGAGAAATCTGCCCCTGTAGAAAGCTTCCCTTGGGCCATGCTTTGGGCTCTCTGCTTTTTATATTTTTATTCTATTCTCCATTTTTCTTCCCTCCCCTTGCCCTAGGCCTAAGCACAGGTACAGATATGTATGTGCTCAGGGCAGCTCCTAGGCCTGGACAGAGCTCTCAGGGAGGAATTAGATAAATATTCCAGCGTCCTCATGCCTGGCCCATTTAGTTTCATCCTTTAGTTACCCAGGCCAGTAGCTTTGAGTTATCCCCTCTTATAGCTCCAAACCCAATGCTGGGAGCAGTAAAATAGGGCACTGACAGGAGGTGACACCTCTTTCTCTCTTCTCAGAATTTGCCACCTTAGGGGCTGGGCTCATAGGAGGCAGTGTTCTAAAAGGGGACTGTATCCTAGGTGACCTGAAGTCTCCAGACCTGCATGGACTATTGTGCCCTCCCTTGTCTCCATCATGCTGTCTGGCTGGATTGATTCAGCAGTAGCAACTGTTTGGTCTGTTGGCCCCCAACATTCTGCTATTTCTTCACCAGCTTCATTGTGTTACGTTAACTTCCCTTCGGAGGGAGGACGACGAGGTTGAACACTTAGAGAGGCAGCGAGAGCGGAGGCAGTGGGTGTGCTCCTTTAGCTCCCCCGCTGCCAGGTCCGGCTCTTGTCTTCCTCTTCCCCTCAACCTGAGCACGTCAGGCCGGGCCTTGTTCATACCAGGACAGCATTGGCTCACTCCTCAGCTATAATGTAGGGTGTGCGGGAAGCTCAGGGCTCTGGGAAGGAACAGAATCAAAGCGGGGAGTGATACGGGGTGGGGGTACTTGGCCAACTGCTAACCTTGGACACCAGTTTTATATCATGCCCCTCTTTTAAGCCGGTGAGCTGGGCTTCAGTTTTTCCCAGGCCATGCACACTTTTAATTTATTTGAGAGAAACTCTAATTGTATTTTCACTGCAGTATCTTGTATTTTTTATTTGTGATTTAAGAAATGTGAAGAGAAAATACACAGACACATAATGGCTAACAGTGTTTCTTTCATTCCTTGTTCTAGAGCTAACCACTCTAAAATTGTTTGGTAATGTCACTTAGTGTAATTAATTGTAACATATTCTTTTAAATAAATTGATTTATTGATGAAACACTTCTTTGGTTTCCTAGACTACAAATCCTTTGGGTTGTGTGGGAAGAAGTGAGGAGGGACCTTTGAGATTTGAGTGAGAATGGGCAGTCTGAAAATGAGAAGGAACATCTACCCAGTTTTCCCAAGTAACTCACGGGGCAGTTTTTTGAAGGCAGTGGATGGATAAGGGTGGGAACAGGAGAAGCCAGGGAGGCCCCTGGTCTGCAGTTGTGTTCCCAGTGGCTCCTTTGAAAATTCTTTCTTCTCCCTCAGCTCTCAGAACTGATTGCGCTTACCCCTCCTGTCTGCCAGCCTGCACGAAATCCTGTTAAGATTCACAGGACTCCTCTCCCAGCCTTATGCAGACAGAGCCTGGCAGGGCCCTTGGGACAGATGATAGCAATGTCCCCTGCCCTCCCCACCATCAGCAAGATGAACATATTTTTTCATTTTTTAAGTAACTCAGGACACATTTCTCTCTGGGATCAGAACTGAAAGGAACATATTACCCCAATGAGTGCCCAGCACAATACTAGGCACCCTGGGTGGTCGTATCCCTTCCTCTTCCCACACCTCTGAGAACAAGGGTGGTCCTACATGCCCTTTGCATTTACAGAGGAATCTCAGGTGCTAGGGCCTGATTATCTAATCTTAAGAGTACCCGTTCCTCTCTGTGCATTAGTTTATGAGCTGAGTCTGCTCAGAAAAGCTCATCATTTGCAGTGGGTGACAAATTTTTATTATTTTTATAACCCCTAACCACTTACTTTTGTTCCTTAACCGATGATCATAAGAGAAGGACCATTTTGACATTTCGTTTGGCAGTATGGGGAGAGACATTGTTTAGGGTTCATTTACTCATCCATTAGCATCGAATATTTGGAATCTGATAAATATTATTATGCTAATGGGGAAAATTATCTTTCACAAGGAAAGAATCCATACAGAAGTAAAAGGTGGGATTCTAGAATTAGAATTACAGAAATTAAAGTCCACAAACATTTATTAGATATCTACTGTGTGGGGGGCATTTTGTTAGATACTGCAACAGATACAAAAGCAAAGAAAGAAACATTTCTCACTGAGGAATGAGAGATGGACAAATGCCACACAGCAGTGGAAGGTTTAAGTGCCATAAGGACTAGAAAAGGAGGGAGAAAGACTTCATGAACAAAGTAGTGTTTAAAGCGAACTGTTTAGCGTGAGCAGGATTTCAACAAGAAGGCATTCAACAAACATTCATTGAGCCATTTATGTGCCAGACACTGTCGTAATTGGGAATGAAAAGACATGAGAAGAAAAAGGATCAAACTTTTG